TCCCTGCATTTTGGATTTGTTTTGATTTTTTCTGACTTATGCCCAACCTAATGTCCACAGTGCTTCCAGGTCGATTGCTCTGATCCTTAAGCAAATCTGGTTTTTCCTTCATTTGGGTTTGGATTTATTGGCCACGCCCACCTTGTATCAAAGTCACCGTGGCTTCTGTTCCTGTCCTTGAGGGTATCAGTCACTTTCCTGAGAAATAATGGACATATATAACAGCAAACACTCAGAAATTCAGAGTTGGTCTCTGTGGAGGGCTACACCATGATTTGGGTGTAAATCCTAAGTCATCTGAGTATCCTTGGAACCATTCATGACAATCTAGGCCCATCGGGAGGGTTCTGCAGTGGCTTGGAGCTCTCAGCAAGAGCAGAGGAAAGTCTGGGATGAAGGGAAAAATGGGTAAAGAAAGGAAGAGGGAGGAAAAGGAATAGGAGAGTCGAGAAGGTGTATTAGAAAAATGTCCTGATGTCCAGCACCAACGGAGAGTGATGAAGACTGGAAAGAGTACTCAGCAGTAGCTCAAAAATCTCCCTGGGCACAAAGAGTAAAGGTCATAGGAAATCAAGCAGGGAGGGCTAACCACCTACCTGTCGGGTACAATGAACACTATTTGGGTGATGGGCACACTAGAAGCCTCAACTTAAGCATTGTGAAAGGTATTCCCATAACAAAAACATTTGTACCCTCCTAATATTTTGAAATTAAAAAATAATCTTCTAGGCCTCTACGTTTCCTGCTATGGTTTGGATGTGGTCTGTTTGGTCCTGCCAAGTCTCATGTTGAAATTTGATCACCGGTATGGGAGGTGGGGCCTGGTGGGAGGTGTTCGGGTCATGGGGGCAGGTCCCTCGTGAATGGCTTGGTGCCATCCTCATGGTAGTGAATGAGTTCTGTCTTGCTCTATTAGTTCCCTGGAGAGCTGACTGTTAAAGAGCCTGGCACCCTGCCCTTCCCTCTCTCTCTTGCTTCCTTCCTCTCTCACCCTGTGATGCCTGCTCCACTTCATCTTCTGCCAAGAATGGAAGCTTCCTGAAGCCCTAACCAGCAGCAGACGCTGGCACCATGCTTCTTGTACAGCTTGCAGAAGAACCGAGAACCATATAAACCTCTTTTCTCTATATTATTAAATTACTCAGTCTCAGGTATTCCTTTATAGCAATGGGAAATGTCCTCTACAGAGCTCATGCCCTGGTTTCTTGTTGAGACTGTCATGACATAAGGACAGAACCGGAAGCCATGCCCAAGCAGAAAGGTGACATTGGTCCTGTCTTCCCTGTCTACATAGTCTGCCAGTTTATCAGAGAAGGAATTAGGTGAGTGTGATTATTTTTTATAGAATGAGTAGGAATTCAATGCTGATTGAGGTGTGGTAAACACACCTTTTGTGGCTGATAGCCTCAAGGACTTTTTTTTCATGAATGGCATTTGTTGCACAAGCCTGCATTACTACTGATCAGTTTGTCCCTCTGTCTCCAGTTTGATTGCATCTATCCCTTCAAACCTGCACATATGGTTTCAGCAGAATCGGTGATATGGTCAAAGGCACACAGACGCTACTCTGATGCCCAGGGAGACAGAAGAGGGCGGGGCACAGAAGGCAGAGGTTGGGTCTCACTTTAGGGGGAAAAACATGCAAAATTGAGGAGGCATAGATGGCCCAGGTGAGAATGGGAAAAGCCCTGGTGGGGGATGGGGGGGAGGGAAGGGGGACGGGAGGGCGCAGCCCTTCAAGGCACCCTTTGTCCCAGCCTATCATGGTCAGCGATGTTCAAATTCTTCCCATTAGCTCTGAATCTCTCCTCCCTACTCCAGTTATTCATTTCATAAATCCTGGTTCCACATAAGATTTCTTTAAAAGAAGTAAGCCACTGTGGATTGAGACAGGAGGTAGAGGGTAGAATCATAGAACAGACGACAGAGGCTGGGAAGACTGTGTTGAGGGTGGGGGAGGTTGGTTAATGGGTACAAACCGTTAGGCAGGAGGGATAAGTTCTGATGTTTGATGGGGGAGTAGGGTGACTATAGTTAGCAATGGCATATTGTATATTTCAAAATAGCTAGAAGAGAGGACTTGAGGAGTTCCTGACACATAGAAATGATGAGTACTCACGGATGGATAACCCAGATAACCTGACTTGATCGTTACACACTCCATGCGTGTAACAAAACATCACACGTACCCCATAAATATGTACGATTATGTACCAATAAAAAAATAAATAAAAGCCCATGGCCCTAGATAATGACACACAAATCATTTGACATTTGGAGTTTTTGTCTTCCCTGACTGCATCAGCCGAGGAGTTAATGTCACCTGCCACTCTCTTGAGTATCTTCACGGAGGGCGATAGCTTCTAAATCTCTGTGCGGCAGCAAAGTTGACATTGAACTTAGGTCTATACAACCTGGGCTTGTGTCTTGACTCTAACGCTCATCTACTGTGTCATCAAGGGTGTGCCATTTGCTTTTCTCAACATTCTTTTCCCAATCCTAAACTCAGAGGGACATATACAGAAAAGAGGACACGGTGTATTTTGTGAGAGAACTTGGCGGCTAAGTGCTCGTTATGTTTCACTGGCTGGTGTGTGTTTGGCACAGGTAAGATCATTGAAGTTGGAATCCTGGTACCGATGAAGATCTCCCAGCCTCCTTCAGTTTTCTTTTTTTTACCTTTTGAAACACGAAAATAGTACTAAGTACACTATAGTTGTCCATGGATAGATCATTCCAGAGGCGAAAATAATTGGCTCCCAAATGGTGCTCAGATGTTTGAAAGGCCTGATCTAAAGAAATTTGAGGGCTGGGCACGGTGGCTCACGCCTGTAATCCTAGCACTGTGGGAGGCCGAGACGGGCGGGTTGTTTGAGCTCAGGAGTTCGAAACCAGCCTGAGCAAGAGCGAGACCCCATCTCTACTAAAAATAGAAAGAAATTAATCGGACAACTAAAAATATATAGAAAAAACTAGCCGGGCATGGTGGCGCATGCCTGTAGTCCCAGCTACTCGGGAGGCTGAGGCAGAAGGATTGCTTGAGCCCAGGAGTGTGAGGTTGCTGTGAGCTAGGCTGACGCCACAGCACTCACTCTAGCCCGGGCAAAAGAGTGAGACTCTGTCTCAAAAAAAAAAAAAAAGAAATTTGAGGATTCTTGTTCTACCAGGGTCCCAGGTTCCTGGCCCCACACAGGGCTTATTTCACTCTCAGCCTTTCCCCACCTTTGATGCCATCTGCACTCTCTGGCGCCTCACAGGCTGGTTAACGCTTGTGTGACTTCGCCCATGCTACACTCTCGAGACTCAGGCGTCGTATCCCGGCAGGCACCCTCGAAAGTGGCTTCTACGCCAGTTGAGCGAAAGTTCTCCCAGCCATACAAGCTTGCTCACCCCAAACACAGCGCTGACCCCACTTGCCAAGGCGAGGATCGTCCTGTCTCCTGTGCCTAGCACAGTGCCTGACCCAGGTAGCATCTGCTCTAGAAACACTGAACCAAGGAACAAGACCACACTCATGACTATCAGTTTGGGACTTGTGATTATTAAACTTGTACTCAGCTGCTGCCAACTCATATCCGATCGGCTAAACAATATCCTGTATTCCCTTCTCTGTACTCTGTGGTACCATTCTACCTGTTTTCAAAGCACTAAAAATAACACAAGGCAGTTTCCCCCTGTCCTTTTGCCTTCAGGACATTGATCTTCAAATTTGTGAACACAGACATCTTAGTGCTAACATTCTAATCAGAATTATGCTAACGCTGATGAATTTTCCTTAAGAGGGAGGGGAGACGGTACATCAGGAAAGTTGCAGCCAACCTACTGACCATGCTTTCCCACCTGATCCCAGCAAGGCGTCTGCCACGACGCTGCAGCAGGAGATAGAGGGAAGGATCTGTGTTTTGCTTTAGAAATGCCCTTTGGTCCCATGGTAAAGCAAGCTGGCAACAGCAATCAGGGCATGGGAGCCTTAAGAAAAAGTGGGCGGGGGAGGAAGTGGCAAGAACAGGCGCACCCTTGGGCAGAAGACCCTACACCAAGACAGGTGCTGCTGACTTCACCAGGACTGTCAGGTGCCCCCACTGTGTCTTGGGGCCATGCAGCAAGAGCTCAAATCGTGCCACAGCCTCCGTGGCACAATCACACCTACCTGTGGGGCCTCGCACCTCTGGGTGCATGGACACCCCCTGTGTATCTACCATCCATCCGCACACTATACTTGCTCAGCAAACATTCCTCCTGTGTTCAACACCCAGCCGGCAACCGTGGCCTGGCTGTTCCATGCTCACGATGGCCAAGAAAACCATTCCCAACACTCTCAATGCACTTTACACACCCACTACTGATTTGGTGACCCCTGGGTCATGGACAGAGCAAAACTGGAGGGCATGGGTGCAAGGTCAGAGTACACACAGGGCCATGCAGTGTCACCATGCACTGCTGCTAGATCTGGTACAGGAGGTCAGATGTGGCAGTGATTGTCAGGTAGCAGCTAAGAAAAAAGTACAATAAGGGAAAAGAGATCAAGCCTCTATGGTAGCAACCTGGACCATTTTAGTTGTATTTGTGTTAAGGGCACTGCTGATTGCTTGACTTACAGGTACAATTCTACTCGTTAAAAGTCTTACTTGACAGAATGCTATGGTTGAAAACATCAACCACCTTTAAAAATGTTCTAGAAGTCAGATGAATAAGCCTGGCTTAGCAAGTCCTTACTGTACACTGGTGTTAGTCCTAACCTGTGTTGTACAGGTAATAATCTAAGATCGGTTTTTGTTTTTAAGGATTAGGAAGTTTTGTGTGTGGGTGTGTGATTTGGGTATAGGGAAGTGAAAAGAACCATTTAGAGAGCTTTCTTTTTGCTATTGGCAGCGAAGGGCCAACTGGCCACAACCACGGGCAAAAGTAGGTTAGAGAAACTTGTTAAATTTAATTCTTTAAATACGTAACTTTCTCCCACCCTCACCCACTCCAGGGAGGAACAGAAACGTCCCCCTCCCTCCCCCCATGCTGGGGATCCACGTATAAATCCTGAGATGGTGAGAACAAAGTACAAAAATACTATTTACAAAGGGGAAGAAGGGATCTGCTGCTGCCTTAACCTCAGACACCCTCCTCCCCAGGCCCCTTTTGATCCTTTACAAAAAGCCCCTGGGACTCAATTTGAGTGTGGAACAAGCCCTCCTCTAGAGGGGCCCACAGACCCCCACATGGAATAGGAAGCTCTGAGATCGAGGAAGAGAGAGATGGGCTAGCATCTCGGGTCCTGGCAGGGGACGGGGGCTGCCCCTTCACTAGCCTGCAGCCAGCCGGCCGCCAGCGGCCTTTGTTTCCATAGGTCTCGTGTAAACATTGACTTTCTCCTTTGAGATGTCCCAGCTCTTCTGTTTCATACAGAGCCTCCCTCGCCTCTGGTGGGAACACTTGGTTCCTTGATCTTTCCTTCTGACCTTCCTGCGTTAGGAGTGGGGAGGAGAGGGAAGGTTGTAGGTGGGGCAGAGCCCATCTCATCCTTCCTGGGTCAGGGCAGCTTGTCCTCCCTACAGGGACCTTGGAAGGGGATTTCTGCATGCTCTTGATCGGGATGAACTCTTCCCCCCAGAGCAGGGACCAGGCAGGTGGATAGTCTGGTACCAGGATCCAGTGGTCTCGTTGAGTGATGCCACCAGTACTGAGTAGCAGGGAAGGAGGCTTCAGGAGGCAGGAGGTGGGGCAAGTCTGATGGTGGAAGCCCAGCCCTGCACCGGCCTCCCCTTCAGATGAGGGTAACCATCACCCCCCAACAGTCCTGTTCCTTGGAGCTGTGCCTGCAGAGGGACCAGGCACCCATGGCAAGAGTTCTTCTCCAGGTCTTGGTGCAGAGGTAGCACTCACACCAGCTCATCCAATAGGATCCCAATGCTCTGGGTGGCCTCTGAGGGGCCAGCGATGGGCTTGTTACACATGGGGCAGACACAGCGCACTTCTAGCCACTTCACTAGACACCTGAGAACAAAGGAAGAGCTGTGATCTCTAAGAAAATACCCCAGACTTCTGCAGCTGCTTCTCAGCACAAGAACATCCCATCCCTGCCTCAACCTCCCCCCTCCTCTGGCTCGCTTGGTGACCAGACAGGACATGGGCCATCCCCTGGTGAGGGGTGAATGGGAGATGGCAGGGACTGGGAGGTTCCAGACGATGCTCCCTCATTATTTCTCCTTCCCAGGGCGACCTGGACACATCCCCACTTACTTGCGGTGGAAGGCGTGTTGGCACGGGAGCACGCCTAGCTCGTCCTTCCCTTTGAAGTCTTCCAGACAGACGGCGCAGGTCTGCTGTGGGGAGAAAGTTGGGTGTGAGAGAGGAGGCCAGGGAAGCACCTCACTCACCCATCCTGAACACCCATGATCTCATCCCCAATCAAGCAAATTAAGCTCTGTCCCGGTCCCTTCTGTCGGCCACAGAAACTTTAGCCATGGTTTAGAACACTGCATTGACAATATGGTAGCCGTTTACCACATGTAGCTATTAATTTAAATTTAAATGAACCAAAATAAGATGAAATTAAAAATTCAGTTCCTCAGTTGCACTGGCAACATTTCGAGCGCTCAATAGCTACATGTGGCTAACGCTTCCCATAGCGAACAGCACAGATATAGAACAAACATTTCTATTAACACAGAAGTTTCCATAGGACAGTGCTGTTTTAGAAGAATGGCTTCAAATCCTTTCTAACCTAGTACATTTGGTGAGGGGGGACTTACAATAGTAGCTAGAAGTAAGGATAGGGATATGGTGTGTGTGGTCAGTTACACTCTTTAAATCCAGACTTACGTCCCCGTACATTAACCCCCTTGATAGCAGCTGACTTACTCTCCTACAAGAGGGCTTAAACACCCGCGCTTGCAGAGATATAACAGCAGATGAAATGAGGCCATGTCTAGGCGGTCTCAGGCTTAGAGACACTGCGATCCTCCTTGCTCCCAGACAACCACAAACATGCTCTGATTCGAAGTGTCTGTGGCTATGGACAGAAGCCCTGGGATATGGGTTAGGTGACCTCCAAGGCATAGCATAGGTTGGAGGGATTGGAAGTGGCCAACTCCTAAAGGAGCCAGAGTTGAGGGGACCCAGGGAATTGGTGTAGGGGTTGGGGGGAAAAGGAGGGGAAATAGGGAAGAGATATAGCAACGAGCATACCAGTCAGATGGAGTCTGTTAGGACAGGGTATACACCACAGTAAAAGGACCTTATTATTATTATTATCATTTTGGTGGAACCAGGATGTAGGGGCTGAACATGGGGAAAGTCAGCTACAATATGTCTAAGGCATGCAGTGGTGTGTCCATCCTCCCCTTAAGGAGTATGCATTGCTGGATTCCTGGGGCCACGTGTCATTGCTTATCCAAACTCTTCATGTCTTCTGCCTGAGCTGGTTCCAGACATAACGAATTCCACATATTGATTCCCTGTTGCGGTGAGTCCCCTTTACTTGGCCAAAGGAGATATGAAGGCAGGTACTAAGAAGATTCCTGAAAGGGTCCAGGCTGAGAGCTGGAGAAAGGTACCGTCTGCCTTCCCTGTGGGGGCCCCCACCACGCTGTCCCAGCACACTTACCCCATATAATTGTAACTTCTTGGCATCACCTTTAAGCACCACCTGGGGAGAAGGAAGAGGGATGATGTCCAAAGAAACCAACCACAGGGGCCAGCCAGGCAGTACCAACCAAGTCCCCAGCCTTTCACCGGGGCGCCTCCCTCTCTCCGGTGACAGGGAGGGCTTTGGACTGCCTGGTGTAAACCAGACGTGGGGACAGTGAAAGGAGTTAGCCTCAGGGAGGCCCAGAGGTGAGGCCCAGGGGGATTCCAGGCCAGGGGAGCTTGAGGGGGTCTTCCCTTCCCCTCCCCTATCAGGGCAAGCAGCAGGGGGCAGTCTCAGGGAAGCACGTGGCACTTTACCTCCTTATATCCATATCGCTCACTCTGTGCCTGGTTCCGGAGTTTGCTGGAGGAGAAAGAGAAGGAGAGAAAGCAGGTTACTAAGCCTTTGCCTACGCAGAGCACTTTGGTGCAGGATAGGCTGACTGGCTGTGTGGTGGGCATTCTGCCGGAGGTAGGGAGGGCTTGTCCCATAGACACCATGGGGCGTGGTTTGGACCCCTACAGGCCACCGCCCATCAATGACTAAGGGCTAAGACTCTTGCTCGATAGCCTCAGAATTCCTCTGCCAGGTCTCATACACAGATTGGGGGTGCTCTGCCAAGAGAGTCCCCCAAATACTTCATTCACTTTCCCCGCCCTTTCCCAGTAGGTGAATTCCTTCAGGCACCCAAACCATACATATCAACAATGTGCTTACAGAGTGCACAGAAGTCCGATAGATATTCTTAAAAAGGATATTTCCACTAAGCCAGGACAGCAGGATAAATAAGTCTCTGTTGACCGTGGGGAATTTTCCACCCGGAGAACACAAGTATTCTGGAACCAAAGCACACTCTTCCCCTCGCGGTGCCAAACAACACAGACGATGCCTTCTTTGTTCTCTTCTTTTCATTTGAAGCTGGTGGCCTGCACATGGCCTAACTCTCAATGGCCAAAGCATAGCATGTCGTTACTAAGGGCAATAGTAGTTATGGAACCATCATAGTTATGGAACCCTCGCTATGCGTTGCCGTGACGCTAATCTGCTCGTATACATCCTCACGGAATCCAGACAGACTTTTAGAGGGAGATACCTTCCCCTTTTATAGATGAAAATGAAGCCCGAAGAAATTACATAATTTGCCCAAATGTCACCAAGCTGGTTGGCAGCAGAGTCTGGATCTGAATGAAAGTCTATGTGATTATAGAGCCCAAGCTCTTTACCACATAATGTGGCCTGTTCCTCCAATTAGGTGAAATACATCATAGTCCCGAGAATATGGTCTGGTCGTGGGACACACCCTACAACTCAGAATGGCTCACTATGCAAATGGCTGGGGCCATAATTATACACTTAATGCTGTGCCATTTTCGGGGGTGGGGGGGTGACTTTCTCTCCAAATCTTGCAGGTGGCTTCAGACGGCCTTCTGTACGTGGGCTATAACGGGGTAACTGATCATCCTAACACAGGCCTGGCGTATCGCAAGGAAGCGTCAGAAACTCGGCGAGTCAGAGCAGGGGTGGGAAATTCTAGTCTGAGGGCCTGCATGCAGCTCACCACCTGTTTTTATAGTGTCTACGAGCTAAGAAAGGTTTTTATTGTCAAATGGTTGAAAACGGAAATAAAGAATATCTCCTGACACATGAAAATGTGTCAGGAGATATTTCAGCGTCCATTAAGTTTTACTGGAACACGGCCATGCTTGTAGTTTACGTGCTGCCCGTGGCTGCTTTTGCGCTCTAACGGGAGTCGGGTAATCCTACTGGAGACCTCGTGTTGTGCAAAGCTGAAAACATTTACTATCTGACTGTTTAAAGAAACAGGAGTGCCGCCCCAAGTTAGCAAAAGAGAACCTCAGATCACAGAGAGCCCCAGTCGAAGGGGGCGAGAGATGCCCTGGGGCGGGGCGGAGGCTGAAGCTGCCGCCCGGGCGACGGAAGACACAGAAGGTGGGGGCAGAGCCAGGTCCGAAGCACAGTGCAGGGCAGATGGGACCAGGCTGTCAAGGTGACCTGGGGAGGCTGTGTGTTCCTGGAGCCTCAAGAACTCCAGTCCCAGTGGACTCCTGCCATGGGCCTGAGGGCAGCACATCCACTGACCCCCACCTTCTCTGCACTCTGTTTCCTGCTCATTGCAGGGGTGGCTAAATGCCTAATCAGGGCCCCCACTGTCCCGTCCTTAACTGTGCAAAGAACTCCTTGATCCAGGCAAGGCCTTCATACATACAGCTTCCAAATGGGAGAGGGAGGGAAGGACGCGCCCAAAGCTCACATGAATGGCTGTTCCCTAATGCAGGTGGGAAGCGCTCCCATCGGCAGGGAGCTCACAGCCGCCTTCTGAGGAAGAAGGACACTGCTGCTCTGTTCCGAGGTATGTGCAGAGCAAACAAGGAAGTGGTGAAGGGCCTGTGTTTGTAACTCTGTCTGGGGGAACGAGGGACTGACTGCCACACAGCTCGAGGCTCCACTGCCTCGCCTGCCACATGGCTGTACCCACATAGCACACGCTGTGCCCTCCCCTAGGCACCTGGGTTGTCCCCTCCCCTGCACTCATCCCTGCCGTCTGGTTGATGGTGGGGAAGGGCTTCAGCGCTGTCCCTTCATCGCACACAAAGATTTCAGCTGAGCCAGGGCTAACTAGATCGTGATTGCAATGGGGCCAAAAAGGTTGCAAGGAAAAACCGCAAAAAGCAAAGACCCTGGGCCATCCTCGCCGGGGCCGTCGTGCCAACAATGGCGGACAGGTGGCCTTCTCAGCTGTTGGATGAGCAAAGCGACTAAAAATACCCCCGACTTTTTGAAATACGAGACCAGTTCTGGCCCCTGCCCGTGGGCTTTCCCTTGCCTCTTCTCCCTTTTAGAACCAACAGTGCAGCCAGGTCCCGAAAATAACTGTTGCCTTCCTGCCTGTTTGTGCTTCCCTGGCCACTCTGTCCTGCGGAGGGCAGAGGTCAGCCCCCAGGGAGAGGGAAAGAGGGAGCAGGGGGAGGCTGGCCTTGGCTGATGAGCTCACCAGGCCGGGAGGGGTAGTCATGGGCCTATTTTGGCTGAGGAGGAAACCGAGAAGCAGGCAGAGGAAGTGGTGGCTTCTGCGCCTGTGTGTCTTTCTATATATAGGCACACACAGGCTGCCACATACCAGTGAGCCTCTGGGACCATGCAACTCCAGGGTCAACTGGCTTCGGGCAGGCAGAACAGAGGGTGCGGTGACAGGGGAGCAGATTACCGCAGAAGGGACAGGTGGTGCCGAGAGCTGTGCACAGCGGGGCTGCACTACAGCCGGGGCAGCTCTTATCATCGTATGGTTACTGCTCTGCTCTTTCTCTTTGGCTGGAGCAAAAGAAATCAGCCATACACAGCTCCCTAGCTGGTCCTGCTGCGGGACCCAGCTCCTAGCTGTAAAGGCAGAGGCAGAGGATGCTACGGTGCCTCCCCCACCTCCCGCCAAGGAGTAAGTCACACGGAAGGCAAACATATGGACGGAATCGGAACGACTCTAGCTAATTGCTACCAGACTAGCCCACCTCTGTATCCTCCCTGATGCATGACCTTGGGCAAATCCTTAACCGTCTTGAGCATGAACTTCCTCATTTATAAAGTGGGCTAATACCTAAACCAAGGATTAAGTGAGCTAAATGGTTTACAAAATGCTGACCACAATGCCTGGCACACAGAAAGTAAAGAATAGCTAAAAACCTAAGGTCACACTGAGTAGTGGCTGGAGTAGGAAGTGAACCCGGGTTACCCACTTCCTAGCCCAGAGCAATTTTCTCTAGATTGCCTTCTCTAGACCACCTTTGCTGCTTGGTGTGTGTGTGCCTATAGGGGTGGGTGTGGGCAGAGGGAAGGGACCAAACAGAGTTGGTTTTACAAACTCCTCCAGCCTCATTACAAGTAAATCTTTGGTATTTGGTCTGTCTCCGTCATGGTTTTCCAGGAATTTCATGAATTGCTTAACATGAGGGCGTAGGGTTGAGCTTGGGGGAGGTCAGTGGCCAGGAAAAAAAACAGGCTTCAGATAAAGGGAAGGAGAGGGAAGGGAGGGAGAAGTACCAGAACTCTACCCCACCCCCACTTAATAGGTAGAGGTAAACTCCAGACCCAGTTGTATATGAAGGAAAATAAACCACTGACTCCACTGCATAGACTTTTAAGTGGAAAATTCCACTGCTAGGGACCTGTTTGAAAGGTTCTGAGAAGGAAGAAGCCCAAGGTAGCAACTGAGAGTGCTGCCTGAGGCCACTTCCCCTTCATAGAGGGAGCTCTCCCAGCCTTAGGGAAGATGGCTAAGGACCTGCCTCTGCTCTAGCTGCCTTGCAGAGAAGCACTCAGACCCAGCGGGGCATCTCAGTAGCGAGCAAAGACTCCTTTTCCTTAATCTTAATTTAATCTTCTTAAAGGATTTGATCAGACACTAGCCTAGACCCCAGCTGATGTCTACCCAGGCATCTGGTAAGGTGTGGGTGGCGGGGAAGAGGGCCGGGGATCACGTGGCTGTAAGGACTATTGGCCTGTCCAACTGGCCAGGGATGTTTGACACTCTCCAATGTACGGGACGGCCCCACACAATGAGGAATTGTCAATACCAACAGCACGCCCCAGTCAGAAACACGACTACTTTGACTTCCACTCTAAATACCAGTCATGCTCCACATTTTTTCTAGAAAACAGCTACCAAGTTCTATGTCTTTCAGGAAGATGCAGAAAAATAGCCCTGCCAAGCTCATATCCTTCCCTGGATCCCTAAGCAATTAAGAATAAGTGATGTTTTTAGTTGTTGTTGTTTTTCTTTTTCCCCCAGTCTCAAAAGTAAGAGCTTGCCAGGCAGAATAAACAAGGAGCTCTCCAGACATCAGCTTGCTAATATTAGCATCTGGAGGGCTGACAACAGGATTTCCCGGGAGGGCAAAGGAACATGCCACTGGTGCCCACTTGTTGCTGGCCACCCAGAGGTCATGAGCTGGGAGTCGAGAAAGACAGCTAAGGGACTATCAACTTTGTTGCTCAGTCAGACAGTAATTCTAGGCAACATTAGACTAAGTGGCCAAGAAAGAGGTGGGATGCGGCCTAACCCATGGTGACCTTATATGCCCTGGGACAACTTGATAGGCTGATATAAATAGAAACATCAGGCCTTGGGGACCCAGAGAAGGACAGGCTTAGCCATGTGCCCAAGCAGCAGCTCCAGCAGAAGGCTAGTGACTCTGCTCATCTTGCCTGGCCTCCTCCGTGCTGGACTCCCCCAGGTGAGCCTGCGCTCCGCTCACCTGATAAAATAGCAGCAGAAGATGAGGCTAAGCATGAACACGAAGATGCCTGTGCCAAAGATGACCATATAGATGTTGAGGGGAAGGTCCTGGAAACTGATGGGTGGCATCGAGCAGGACTTGTTGGTACTCACCAGTCCCAGGCCACAGAAACACCCTGCAAAAGGGAGAAAAAAAAAAAAAAATCGCATGAGAGTTGGAAACGGACCACTGGCATTGCTGGCACTGTGCCAGCAAGGATAGAAAGAGAATTGGCAGGCTCTGGGTTCCTGAGCCTCTCACTCGGTCGGTGCCTTTACTTTTACATCCCAGCAGTAACCACTTCCTAGCTCTGTATGCTTGAGTAAATTATTTAACCAATTGACAAAACTGAATACTGTCTAAAGTACTTAAAACAGTACTCCCATCTAAGGGATCAAGGATTCAAGCAATGGGCAGAAGACAGAAAACTTAATTCCATCAGGGAGAAGCCCACATACATAGCAAAACAGCAAGATGAAGAGGCTTAGGTTAGGAAATAGAGTAGTGGGGTTCCCACGCCACCTCTGCCTAGCTGTGCGTGACCTTTAGAAAGTTACCTCTCTGAGCTTCGCTTTGTCGTACAAAAACAAGCCAAATAGAGGACCGAAAATGATGGTGTGAGAAAGACGCTTTGTAAATTGCAAAGTGCAATTGCAAAGGTCATTTGTCATTATTAAGCCACCTGCTCCAGAACACAAGCTGTGCCAGGACTAGAATAGAAATTGTTCACTCCAAGGCCAGGCCAGCGCTCCAGAAAGTGGTGATGGGGGTTGGGCAGGGCAGTTGCAGCTTCCCTTACTGGTCACCTTCCCCCTTTTCATTTCCTTTTAACCTTTTTTTTTTTTTTTTTTTGAGACAGAGTCTTGCTCTGTCTCCTGGGCTACAGTGTGGTGGCGTCATCATAGCTCACAGCAACCTCAAACTCCTGGGCTTAAGCGATCCTCCTGCCTCAGCCTCCTGAGTAGCTGGGACTACAGGCACATGCCACCACGCCTGGTTAATTTTTTCTATTTTTAGTAGAGACGGGGTCTCGCTCTTGCTCAGGCTGGTCTCGAACTCCTGAGCTCAAGCAATCCTCCTGCCTCGGCCTCCCAGAGTACTAGGATGACAGGCGTGAGCCACTGTGCCCAGCCAACCTTCCCCCTTTTGAATCAAAGCCTCCACAGTACAGTCCCAGTGACAGCGGCACCCCCTGGGAGCTTGTCGGACATGCAGACCCCGAGGCCCACCCAGACTAAATGAATCAGGATCTACATTTTAACAAGATCCTCTGCCCACAGTCACTTTAAGAAGTGCTGTTAGTCACTAGAAGCTGCCCTGCACATGTCACTTGGGGATAAATCCTGGTTGGTCTATCCATCCTGATAGTCACTTCCTCCTTGCCAGTATTTGGTGCTGAGGTGAGTATGTGACCAGGTTCCAGGCAAAGAAACAAAGAGAAAGTCTGTTGGAAAAGGAAAGTTTTTTTGTTTTTTTTTTTGTCATGTCTCTCCAAGATACCTAGAGTAGTGATGGCCAAGTTGTAACTGGAAAGAGAGCAGATCCATAAAAATATCCAATGGCCAAGGATGGCAGAGCAGAAAGGGAAAGAGAGAAGAGTCCTCGATTAACAAGAACACTAGAATTTACCGTATGCCTGCTACATCCCAAGCTCATGCTACCAACTCAATCTTTGCAACGCCACAGTAAGACGTTGTTACTTCCCCCACCAATGGGAAAAAACCTCAATCATTAAATAACCCGCCCACGGTCAAATAGCTAAGAAGGCCTGGCTCCAAAAGCCTCTCTGTACTCAGGCCTTGGGTTCTAGGCACTTTCCTGACATCTTGGTTAGGAGCCAGGACCCATTAAGATACTGCAGAGTCCTGCGTTCTAATTGCCAGTGCTATCCGAACTCAGCAGAAGGCTGGCTTGAAAGACTGAAAGTCAGCTTTGACATCATGTATGTCATTAAGCTTCATCCCTTACACCTACCTGTTGCCCACATAACGAGCCTCCATTCAAAGCTCTTTTAGATTGTGCCCAATTCTCTTGCCACGTCCCCATCCAAACACTCATTACCTGCTACTGTTTCCTAATTGATGTCATCCTTATTTCTGGTTCCTTCTCTTATTTACTCCATATGCCTGACACATCCTCCCACTTGGTTTATCATGTAATTTCCAAACTCACAGCTGGCTTCAATTCCTCCTAAACATGTACCCTTTCACCTTGCAATTTTCCACTAAATGTTCTCCAATACCACCCCACGTGGGTGTATGGTGGTAGACACATAGGAGAATGAATGGATGACCTCACCGTGTTGGGAAGAAGACAGACAACATGGATTTCACCATAGAGAATGAGGTACCATACTAGAGGTGTGTCTATAATCCTGAGAACAAAGATGAGACTGTCATTAAGTGTGTACAGTCCTCCTAACAAGCCTGAATACTCCTAGGTCTGAGGACACCAGCTTGGACTTTTGCAAATTCTCCATTGTCTATCCTATCCTAGTGTTTGGCTTATTCCCGATAACTAGTTAATAGATAAATAACTCCCCAATTTCTCAAAATAACCTGGTCCTTCTGGCGAAAGCTGCCACTTCGAAGTAACAAGACTGATGTTTGGGAAAACTGCCCAGAAACTGCCCTCATCTAATGGATCACCAGTCAACCCACAAGTATTACTGAGGGCCTGTTTCATGCACTGACCTAGACATTGTGAGAAAACAAAGTAAAAGAAGTTCTTACTTTGAAAGACTTTTCGATTAAGTTGAAATTAAGGAAATAAGCAGCTACTAATCTTTTCTGTGCCCAAGTGGAAGTTCCTTGTTTTTAGGCTCCAGCAGGGGTTAGAAAGAAAGAATTAATATTTTTGCTACCCCTCCCCACTCAAATATTTGCTCTCTGTGGGCCAAAGAAGATCAGTTTTCCATGAAGACATCATGGTAGACCAACCAGCTAGAGAAGGATAACCTGCAGTCTACACTGGATAAGGGCCTCGGGACTTCCCTTCCAGAAAACTGTCCTCATTGCCAACGCTTTGGGCCGCCAGCCATCTCCCACCTCCAGTCCTCAGCAATATTTGATGCTACAAGAGGGTCTAACACCCTACCTGCCTTGGCTCTTCTGTGCACCCTTATAAGCTGATGGTTGGTACGGGAACTCCCAAAGCTGTGGCTCCCGCAGGGGGTATGTGCCTGTACTCCGCAGGTACACTGCCCCCCCCCCCCACCTCCTGGTCCTCTGATCAGTTTATGTCCACTATCTTATCCTGTCTGCTAGAAGCTTTCCCTGGGGCCCTAGGATTTTGTCAACAAGCTTGGGACTTCTTGCAATAAAGATGTTAAGTCAGAAGAACTTCATGGTCAAGGGAAGATGGTCTGTTTGCTTGTATTACTATTAAAGAGAAATGGAAAAATAGTCTGTTGGCCAAAAGCTGACAGTGGAGTCAGTTTTCCCTCTAAAACTTATAAGGACAGAGAATACTAACCCCAGGAAAAGAGGGGCACCCGACATTTTCCAGAAGGGTGGGGGAGGCTTTGATTTCTCACTGGAGTCAAAGAACGGGATCTTGCAGTCACTGTAAGCAGTGAAGCTAAAGCAGCAGTCTAAAACTTCATAGAAAAGGAGGCAGCCTAGCAGAAATGCCAGTATTACTGACCAACGGCCTCATTTCTTCTCCCTAAGTCTCGTTCCATTGTCTATGCCAACCTTAGAACGCCTTGACATCAGAATGCCTCATCTTATCTGGCAGGCTGGGAGCAAGAATGACGTCAGAGCAGGGCTGGCCAAGAAAGACCAGGGGATCTGGGAACTGCTTCTGCTTCCCAGCCAACGGGAATCTTTCCCAGATGCTGGGATGCACCGGCCTTCCTCAATCCCCATCCCCCGCCCCTTCTCCCACGAAACCACCTATCACACGCAGCTTGGTTCATTTTCAGGAAATGAGATCCGACTAGCAAAAGGAGGAAGGGGGATGGGGGACACTCAGACACATGCTGCCCAAACTCTGCCCTGAAACAAAAGCCTCTTGAAATAATTAATCCAAGATCTGGCAGGAGCCAACTCTCAAGAATGGATTTTTTTTCCCTAACTAGCCAGCTTGCCATACTCAGAGATAAGACCAGCTGCTTCTCATCTCTCCCTCCCAGAAATTGTCGAGGCGCTAAAAACAACGCAGTCAAGGGACCACGGGGGTCGGGGGGAAGGGTATTAATATCTAAGATTTTTAAGTGACCTGCTGAAAAAGTATCTAAGGTTTTTAAGTGACCTGTTCAGAAAGAGCTTCCTTTTCAGGTAGCTTGGGTGAGGAGTCTAACCTGTGCGACCTGAACTGCCAAAAAGCCCCAGGTGAAATGAACTAGCTTAGCAACACCACCCAGGCCTGGGAGAAATGGGGAGTTGGGGGAGGAGTTGCTGGGTCTGGAGGTGCGGTCTCCACCTGGGCTCGAGAGCAGACACCCCAGTCTGGCCTTGGGGCCAGAAAGCACTGCCCTGGCCAGGCCAGCCCCCACCCCAGGGACCGCCGAGCGCCGGGGTATCTGCAAGGCTTTATCAACTCAATACAGCGACTCTTGAATCCAGTGTTTCCTTCAGGCACAAGGCCCGGCTAGCAGCCAGTGGGAAGCCAACAAAGAGCGAGGAAGCCGCCCCTGCGCCCTGTCCCGCACGCTGCATTGTGTACATATTTAAAATAGCCTGCAAAGTTTCAGGCCGGGGACTTTAGCTCCCTCTAGGAGATCCCAGCCCGAGCGCGGATTTAATTCTCCTCCAACAACCACAACAAAGAACAGAGTTTGCGTGCACAAAGGCAGGGGAAGGGGGCAGGAGAGCCGAGCCGCCACACAAAGGCCGGGGACCCCTCGGCTCCCACGCCCCCGGCCCGCCGCAAGTTCAGAGGCCCTTCTGGACCCTCGACTTAAAACTGGATTATTTCAAATTCCGCGCTGTGCAGAGTTGGGCGCCAGGACGCCTTCTCGATCGTCCCATTTCATTATAAACTCGGCTGCAGAGGGGGCGGCGAGCCCTCTGCCGTCCAACCTTGCGTCCCGCTCCGCGCCTCCTGCAGGCCCGGGTCCGCTCGCCCCCCGCCCCGGGACTCACCGTTACACCACTGGAATGGGTGCATCAATGAGGTCTCGGCTGGCTTCCCGGGCGAACGGACGCAGGCGGCGTGCCAGGCGGGCGGGGAGGGCGCACCGGCTGTCGCGCGGGGCGGCGGGGGGGGCGGGTGCGGGGCGCGGCAGCCGCCTTTCTCCAGAAGCCCAACTCCCCGCGGAGTGGGGGGCTTTGGCGAGGCCGGTCTTCAGAGCAACAAAGAGGGAAGAGGAGGAGACAAACAAACAGAAAGTCCCCCGGAGCAGAGCACCGCAGAGGAAACGCACGAAGGGCCCCGGGCTGGGGGAGATGCGGGGCGCCGCAGAGCGGGGCGGGGGCGTCCAGGCGGCGGGAGCTGTCGGCCAGCAGAGCGGGGACAAGCCCTGGCAGGAGGCTCGGCTCAGGTGCCGCGACGCGGAGGCGAGCGGGCCGGGGTTCCGAAACTGACACCCGGCCGCGCACACCCCCGCCCTTTTACCGCCCCCGGGAAACCCCGCCCCCTGCCCGTCACCCGCCCTCCGGCCAATGGAAGCCTTCCTCCCGCGCTGGAGTGTTCGGTGCGAGCCCGCCCCCTCCCCGGGAAGGCGGGAGCTTCCCTGCACGGCGGGCCCCGCTCCGCCCCCATGCACCTTCCCAGGACTCGGGACACTCCGGTCTGGAGGGAGCGCGGGGCCCTGCGACGCCCGGAGGGGGCCGGGGCCGGCCTCCTGCACGGCGGACGCACAGGCCAGCGAACAATTACTGCCGCATTGTTTTCTGCCTCCCGATCTGTTACTGTCTAGCATTTCCATAGCCCTTTGAGAACCAGTTCTGGGGAGCAGTGACGCTTCTGCTCCGTGGGTGCGGGCAGGTCCTGGGTGGCGCCTGGCGCGTTCTCCTGCTCACTGCGGAAGGGGCACCTGAAGCGCGGGAGTAAAGCCGATTAATTACCAAAGTGGCATCTGGAAAGGGCTTTCGTGTCATCCAACTTTTGGCCTGCCCCTCATTTTACAAACCAGGAACTAAGGCCTGAAGCTTAAGATTTGTCAGGGTTCCGGGCTCCGGAGTGGCCGAATCAAAACCAGAAACTGACATTGTCAACCTTAAGGACAGGTATCTTTGGCAACTAGCACCTCGTTGGTGTTGAATAAATAGTAGTTGAAAGAAAGATTGAATCTCTTAATTTCCTGCCCAATATTCTGTGTTTTCCATGACGATGCATCGTCTCTTTCTGTTTTTGTCCATTTTCCACCTTTCGTTTTTACAGAAAGTGTTCGCTGTGAGCCTATTAATACTTTATGCCAAGCACGGTTGCTCCATCGACGTCATAGGAGACGGCAGATTTCTGCCCTCCTGGGACTTAGTGCGTGAGGCGACAGGCAAAGAAGCAAACAAATAAGAACGTTGCTATCTTCCTGTGAAACATCCAATCTCCCTATTTAACCTGTTAATGGAAGATGATAAAATACCCAACACCAGGGAATTCGTGATATTCAAGGTTATGCATACGAAGGCCTTGTCATTTAAAAGTATTGTCCTTAAAGTATCAAATGACTTGACCAACATCACAGAGCAGGCTGGAACATAGTTTAACACTTAATGACTTAATTGTCTTAAAACAATTGTTTTCTTTCTGAGCTAGTCAGGAGAGGCATCGCCTACATATCTAACTCATTTCACTTCTTAACTGACAATTGCAAAAGCTTCCTAACTGGCCGCTGTCATTCTAGTGTATTTCTCAGACTTTAAAGCCCACAAGACTCAGTGTTATGTTAGAGATGCAACACATGCAGATTCCCAGGCCATGAGTCCAGAAATTCTGATTCAGTCGTTAAAAAGCAGGCCCAGGAATCTTCATTTTAATATGCTTTGTTTCCCCCAATTCTCATGAGAGTTATTGAGAGAAACAGTGCTCTGATTTCACTCTCGAATCCACCCTTTCTGCTGGTCCCGGAGTTATCTTTCTAAAATACAAATGTGAACATTTATTTCCTTTGTTTAATAACTTTTGTGAGTCTCCGCTGCTTACAGAATATAGTTCGAATTCTAGAGTGTGGCATTCAAAGCGTTTTTGTCTTCCTGATACTCTCCTTCCTACACACATCAGCCACGAAGCTTTTTGTTGTTGTTATCATTCCTTGAACATAGTTTGTTCTCTCTTAACTGTGATCTTGCACCCGCTATTGCTTCTGTTTGGAATGCCTGTTTTCCTTCTGTGCCTGACAAACATTTCGTGAGATTCCACCAAAAATTCACCTCTTCTGGGGCTCACTGTTGTCACTCCCGTGTATGAATTTCTTTTAACATTTCGCATGCACAGTGTAGTGTGGCACGAATTCTCCAGATAATTGTGTGATTTCCTGGGTTTGGTTCCTTCATGAGCTCGCCTCATAAGAGATTTTTCCGGGGCATGGTCTGCTTTTGTGGGTTAGTGTCTGATACAATAAATGTTTCTGGAGTTTATGTGAATTTGTGTGAGCATGTGCATAAATAACCATACAATTTAAACCACGTTCTGGTACAGTGTAGAGGTTTAAAAACCATGTAGATCATACATTATATGATTCTAAACATATGACATTCTGGAAAGGGCGAAACTATGGAGACAGTAAAAAGGCCAGTGGTTGGCAGAGGTTGGTGGGAGACAGTGATGAGTAGTAGGTGGAGCACAGAAAATTTAACGGAAGTGAAACTACTCTGTACGATACTACAATGGTGGAGACATGTCATTATATATTTGCCTAAACCCGTGAAATGTACAAAACCGAGAACAAACCCTCGTGTATACTTAATGTGAACTACGGACTTCGGGTGATCCCGATGTATCAATGTAGGTCCGTCAATTATCTAACAAATATACCACTCCCGTGGGGGATGTCGATAATGGGGGAGGCTGCGCATTGTGGGGAGTAGGGAGTGTATGGGAAATCTCTGTGCCTGCCTCTCAATTTTGCTGTGAACCTAAAACTGTTCTGAAAAATAAAGTCTATTTTAAAACAACAACAAGTGTGCATAATGGTTCCTTAACCAATAGTTCTTTCTGTTCATGGAGGAGAAGTGTGATGGGTGATCCTAATTTCATTAAGACTCTCCTGCTAGGTGCTGCTAGCACAAAACTGTGAAATTGGGAGAGCCTTTGAAGGGAAAATTGAGAGGAAGTGATGAGCACCTCCCCATCCCACTCCCACTTAGACTAAAGAGAGCCTTGGTGGGAAAACACCTCGATGGCAGGAACAATGGAAGTTCTCATTGAAACAGAGCTGGCCAGTCAGGACAATGAACATCTCAGGTCACACCTACACAGACCGTGACTACAGTCATCCGACAGGATGCTCTATCACAATTTCTATTTTATTAAGCATTCAGTAAGATCTCCTGAGGCCTTTAAGGACTCCAATACGGGGGGGAAAAAAAAAAAAGGCCCAGAAAAACGGATGACAGGAACAATGCTAGCTCTCATTGAAACAGAGCTGGCCAGTCAGGACAATGAACATCTCAGGTCACCCCTACACAGGCCGTGACTACAGTCATCAGACAGGATGCTCTATCGTCTCTACTAAAAAAATAGAAAGAAATCATCTGGACAACTAAAAAAATATATATATATAAAAAATTAGCCGGCATGGTGGTGCATGCCTGTAGTCCCAGCTACTCGGGAGGCTGAGGCAAGAGGATCACTTGAGCCCAGGAGTTTGAGGTTGCTGTGAGCTAGGCTGGTGCCACGGCACTCTAGCCAGGACAACAGAGCCAGACTCTGTCTCAAAAAAAAACCAAAAAACTATTATATCCCTTCCCAATCTTTCACCCTCATCCCCCCTGGCCAATGCGGCCACAGGGCCTCAGAGATGATGGTTTAGATTGGGAGATGTAGCTTAGAGGAAGCGCTTTGGTTTGGAGCACCTTTGGAAAGACTGGTTCAGTCCCGATGTCTCCCTACACTGAAGGGTCCTACAGAAAACAAGCTGATTTCTTGCATCGTGTCAATCCAATTTAGACCTCCCACCCACTCCCACCCCGCCCAGCTTCACATGAGTCAGAAAGACAAATCTGGTTATTTTATTGAGGAAGAAACTAAAATGGTAAAGAAGACGCAGGAACATTATTCAAAGCCACTTGAGAAATCTGAAGTAGGATTATATTTCTAAATCTTCCGTGGAAAGAAGCAAAGGTAATACTAAGCTTCCAGAAAAATTTCTAAGGAGTCAAGGGATTCTCTTTATTCTCACTGCCTCACCCAACATCCTCTTATACTCCCCGAGAGCCCCTCACTTTAAGGCCTTGCAAACAGGAGAGAAACACTTGGGGAGAGACAGCCAATTCTGTGCAGGAACATGGGGGCAGAGGACTTAATCACTTCATTTCACCTTTATTAAGAGATTCTTCATGGGCGTCCAAATCCAGACCTAAAAGATAGAAGAGACGCCAACCACGGTTGGTTATAAAAAATGGTAGTTAACTCTGGGAGGCTGAGGTGGGAGGATTGCTTGAGCTCAGGAGTTCGAGACCAGCCTCCGATCACAATCCAATCGAGAAATGGTTCATTGTTGTTGCATACAAGAAGCGAAGACGACACTTCAAAATGATGATTTTTTGATTTTCAGTCAGCTCAGGAGGCACCCACTTAGTGAGCTTTTCTACCTTTCCAATTTGCTTCCAACGCTGAACGACCGTAGAATGGTCGACGTTGAGTTCTCTGGCAACTTCACGTGTGGTTGTAGAGGATCAGTTTCGATGACTGCTCTCAATTGGTTGTTGTCAACTTCCGATGGCCGGCCGCTGTGCTCCTCATCTTCAAGGCTCACGTCTCTGCAAAACTTCTTGAACCACCACTGCACTGTACGTTTGTTAGCAGTTGCTGGGCCAAATGCATTGTTGATGTTGCAAGTTGTCTCTGCTGCTTTATGACCCTTTTGGAACTTAAATAAGAAAATTGCTCAAATTTGCTTTTTGTCTAATATCATTTCTACAGTCTAAAATAAACATAAAATAAACAGCAAATAATAAGTCATTAACAAAAATCATAAAGCGAGAAATGCGCATTAAAACGATGTATAACATAACCATATTTATTTGAGAATATATTCCAATATCAAATGGCAAATGTCAACAATGCT